TATTTTTAATTTGGACAAAATTTCAGATTTTATTTGGGTTTCACCAGTTTTTCCACCAATGACCTTTTCCTGTTCCAGGATCCAATTTGGGGTACCATATTACATTTTTTTTAAGATAGTTTGTGCCTTGCTTTTTTACTTAATATTTTAATCTAAATATTTTCATATACTTACTAAGTGCTTACTATGAGCCAGGCACAATGCCATAACACTTTACCTGCATTATCTCATTTATTTCTTACAACAATCTTTTGCAGTAGGTATCTGTAATTAACCCAGTTTGAGTATAAGGACTCTGAGGTTGGGAGGGGTTAGATGAATGGCTTTTTCTCAGCCTCCAAGGTAGCTTTAAGGGCTCAAACTGCAATAGTGAATCTTTGATTTTATTTCTCCAGGCTTTCATGAGAAGGACCAGAAGCCTTACTGCCGAAAGGATTTCTTAGCCATGTTCTCACCCAAGTGTGGTGGCTGCAACCGCCCAGTTTTGGAAAACTACCTTTCAGCCATGGACACTGTCTGGCACCCAGAGTGCTTTGTGTGTGGGGTCTGTATATTCACTTATCTTTTGAATTTAGGGACCATCAAGGGTTCTCCTCCATGAGGGGAAGAGCTGTAGCTAATAAAGGGTTGGTTCACAGTCCTGGATGAGGAATTGATGTGGGCTTCCTAATGGAGAAACAAGGCACGGCATCCATTGTGGGCATTTGCTTGTCTGTTTTGCAAGTGGGCAATCTAATCTCCATTTATCAAGGACCAAGTGAAATTCTTGTACCTGGCAGGAATTTCAAGGGTGCAAATTTTACTTTGCTGATGTTTCACCACTTGACATCTGTATTCTTTTTCTCTCTCTTCTCTCCACTCCCAGGACTGCTTCAGCAGTTTTTCTACTGGCTCCTTCTTTGAACTGGATGGACGTCCTTTCTGTGAGCTCCATTACCATCGCCGCCGAGGAACCCTCTGCCACGGGTGTGGGCAGCCCATCACCGGCCGCTGCATCAGTGCCATGGGGCACAAGTTCCATCCTGAACACTTCGTGTGTGCTTTCTGCCTGACACAGTTGTCGAAGGGCATCTTCAGGGAGCAGAATGACAAGACCTATTGTCAACCCTGCTTCAATAAGCTCTTCCTGCTGTAATCTCAACTGATCCGCAGCCTTTTCTGATCCCCCTATAAAATTTAAAAGAAGAGAGAAAAGAGTAAATTTGCTGTTACTGACCTTCTGCTTAATAGGCATATAGAGAAAGTAAAGGTGATGAACAAATAAGGGAACTCCTAGACTTTACATGACTAGGCTTGTAATCTCATTTTTTAGGCTTCGAATCTTAGTATTATTTTTTTTAATCAAGTACTTGGAGTTAGATCTGGGTCCTGCTATCTAGTCCCTCTGCAGATGTATTTTGTACTTGCACAGTTCATTCCAACACTGGTTTTCTCAGGTTTCTCCATTTTCATCTCTACTGATGGCCCTGTTCAGATTTTCTGTTCTTTGGTGCTCATAGCTGTTCCTTTTCAGGCTTCTCCCATTTCCCCATGGCTCACTGTCCCATGATCTATACCGTGGAATCCAGATACCACTCCCAAGCACTTTGCATCTTCTTTCAGTGCATTTTCTTTTTCAAGAGGAAGTAGGTTTTTTTTAAAAAAAAAATTCAGAATATTATGGGGATACAAATGTTTTTGCTACATGAATTACTTTTGTACAGTTTGAATCCAAGTTATAAGTGTGCCCATCACCAGATAGTGTGCATTGTACTCATCAGGTGTGATTTTACTCATCCCCTCCTCCCTTCTCCAACCTGCTTGATTTCCATTGAGTTTTATTACTATATATGCACATGAGTGCATAGATATATAGTGCATATCGATTAGTTCCAATTTAATAGTGAGTACATGTGGTGTTTGTTTTTCCATTCTTGCGATATTTCACTTAGAAGAATGGTATCCAGTTCCATCCAAGTTGTTATAAAAGATATCAATTCACTATTTTTTATGCCTGAGTAGTACTCCATGGTATACATATACCACATTTTATTAATCCACTCATGTATTGGTGGGCACTTGGGTTGATTCCACATCTTTGTGATTGTGAATTGTACTGCAATAAACATTTTAGTGCAAGTATCTTTTTGATAAAATGATTTTTTTTCCTTTGGAAAATATCAAATAGTGGATTGCTGGATCAAATGGTAGGTCTACTTTTAGTTCTTTGAGGACTCTCCATACTATCTTCCATAGAGGTTGTACTAGTTTCAGTCCCATCAACAGTGTATAAGTGTTCCTTTCTCTCTGCATCCACGCCAGCATCTGTTGTTTTGGTACTATTTGATAAAAGCCATTCTCACTGGAGTTAAGTGATACCTCATTGTGGTTTTGATTTATATTTCCCTGATGATTAGAGACATTGAGTATTTTTTCTTATGTTTCTTGGCCATTTGTCTATCTTCTTTTGAAAAGCTTCAGTTCATGTCTTTTGCCCACTTTTTCATGGGGTTGTTTGATTTTTTTCTTGC